TGTCCTTTTGTCATAAAATCTTTCAAGTTAGATAGGAACTTGAATTATTAAAAGATAAAACAAAGAGCAAAAGGAATTCTCACGCAGCAATTAGAAAGAAGCTTAAAAAAAAAAAATCTTCCTGCTGCAGTCACAATGAGAGTCACAGCAATTGTTCAGTCATGAGTTGCTGTTGTGTACCACAGGAATAAAGGCCTAGATGAAGGCGGTCTTTATTTTAACCAGTAAGTCTTTCAGAAAAGGGCCTGTATATTATTCCCACCTAGTGTCATGCTGAGTCTGTCCTCAACATTTATCGAAGAGTAATTACACTAGCATACTCAATTTTGCTAGAATACATTTCTCCCAGATTATCTAAGATGCTGTACAGTAATAATGCAGTACCCTACTGTGTGCCTGAAGCAGAGCCAATTCACCCGCCTGGCCTACTTACATCTCATTGGCCAAAGCAATTGAAAAAGAAGTGTGATCATAGGATGCGCAAATATATTTTTTCAGTGTTTATTTTATTTCCTTTGCATTTAAATTCACTAATTTAATACAGACTGCTCAGGGTCTCTAGTGTTTCCATTTTACTTTTTCTTGTTCATTCTCTTTTGCTAAGTGGAATAGCGATATGTTCCTTAAAATCAGTACTGTCCTTATTTATAGCACCTGCCTTGATGTGGTGTTAAAAAAATAAAATAAAATCACAGGAGGAGGTACATGAGAAAGCATAATTTCTCTTCCTCATGCCATTGGCCAGCTGCTCAGATGAAACTGCCGTGCATGGAGAAGACTTTTTCCCAAGGTCTTCTTCCACAGGTCTTGCTGTGAGATCCTGTGGAGGCCTCTCTTCCATCTACATCTCATCAGGCCAGATCAAGTGCTGTTATTCTACAAGTAAATCTTACATTTTAGTACATAGATGTTACAGGACATAACTAGAGCTAAATACATCCATGTAATGTTGCCATGGAAATACAGAATTTTCATGTAAATATAAATTTTCTGTATTCACCTTGTTTCACTAACACAAATTAGCAAAGCTGCAATCAGAGAAGTGCCATGCCTTTATTTTCTTTTAGCGCTTGGCACGGTCTACTGAAAATCAGAAGAAAGTGAAAACAGGACATTTTAGCTACTATAAGAGTATCATGTCATGGTCACATTTTATGTGCATGCTATGTTAAACTGTTACACAGCACTGCATCTAAAAACTGTTCAAATGTTTTTCAAGTCTCATCCATATCTTATAGGTGGGGAAAATTCAGCAATGCCTAGATCATAAAGTGAGTCAGTATGCTGCTCTAGCTTGATACCTGGGCCCTGATCTTCTCATTTAATCACATCATTTAGCCATTAAGAGACATAGTTTATAAATAGTAGAGCACAGGTTATCTATTTTACAATGAGAGTACGCAATGCCCAAAGCTGTACTCCAAACTGGGAGAGAGAAACAATTATCTTTGAACTTATGCTGCAGAGGCACTGCCTGCAAAGGAACACGCCATTTATTAAAATAAATATGTGAAAAATAAAGTGAAGAGCAATCAAAATAGAGCATACATAAGTTGAAATAAGTGTTATACAAAGTGGATAGTGCTAATTTAATTAAATCCGCTTCTAATTCAAGATAGTTTAACTCAGAATACTGTTCACGTATATACAAAACAATGTAATTACCAAGTAGTCTTCAATATCAGGAACTATTATGCTACTTGGGGAGCAGAGCTGTTGGGACTGGTGAAAATTTGCAGACAAGTCCCAGGGTATTTGCAAAGTAAGGGAGCGATGCTGAAAATGGACACAGTCTTGGAAGGTCCCATTCATGGCGGGTTGTGGAGCAGGAGACACGATCAGTGAATGACAGGTGGCTCAGGCTGGAGGACAGGAGGTCTCTGCGTGTGCTGGAGACCTTTAGTAACAAGGCTGTTTCAAGGCAGGTACCTTTTACAGAAGTCCAGCCAGCAGTCTTTCACCTCGGAGGGCTGGGGATCCACGAGCCTATCTGGTACTTTTGTGTGGTTGAAGAATGGGATTTCTGCATCAGTGAAAACTCTGGGCGTTTTTCTGTCCATTTTGCCCTTTTATCTGTTAGTTCACAACAAAACTATTGACCTTATTGGCCAACCTCAACAAAATTTGACAGGAGGCTAGGTCTCGAAGATACAAGATGCCAACAGTAGGCCTGTTAAACCCATGACTGGTCGGAGCACCACAGGTTATCTCGTGCCCAAATATGAAGTCAAGCAAAAGAAACGGTGGGAGAGAAGAGGACACAGCAGCAGGGACTGAGATTAGGGATTGTAGCAACCATGATGGGATCTATGTGGACCACAGGGAGAGGTCAGAGGAGGTACTATTGGTGGGCAGAAATTCTGGGCTAGGATGCTGGGGAGATAACGGGAGGTGTGGTGGAGAGGGTAGGAGGAGCTGCGGGTGTTGTGAGGATGCGACACAAGAGAGAGAGCTCAGCATTGCAGTGGCAGTCTTTGAAAGACATGGGCTAGGTTATTGAGGGAATTCACATTTGTTGGGCACCCCCATCCTGCGAGTTTTCTGCAAATGGCAGGCTGGGTAGAGGAGGGAAATTTCCCTCCATGGGGTCTTATGAGTTTGTAATAAAAAAAAAAGAGTTCACACTGCAAGTTCAGTACAAATCTGTTAAAAAGTCAGTCAGTCATGAGGCGCAAGCATGGTTAGCAGATGTCATCAGTTATGGTTCTTGCTACGTCTGAGAAGGAGCCCTGTGAGCCAGTCTCACTTTATGACTTGCAAGGGAGGAAAAGTTGAACAGGTTCTTCCAAAGTTTTTCCCAAATTTCTCTCCCACAAAAATGCGATTCTGGGAAGAGAAGAAAATTTCAATGTTTTTAGCCTCATACCATTAAATGTTTTTAGGATTATGGGCATGTGTAAAAAAGGACCTGCTAAAAGACTGCAGACTTCGCTGGAACATTTCTCTGCACAAATTTGTTCAAAGTTTTTTCATACGAATGAATTGGAAGTGTCTGCTTTCCACCGAGCAATCATGAAATGTCTGATACTTCTCACTCCTACAGACTCAGCTAAACCGATTTGCAGCACATGAACACAGATCAGTTCAGACATCTCTTTCTGTCCACTCCAACTTGATTGCTTTTGGTACACTCCTTGTGTGCCGCTATTACCTCTGCATGTCAAACACATCAGTGTTATGCTGTGGGAGCATCTTTGCTACAGTTATGTCTTCATTGGCTGATAAAGATATATTTTTATCCAGGGTGGACATGATTGTGTGCAGCCACGCAGATGTGATTGCATTAAATGATGTAGCAGTGTGCAATCCATCAGTTTCCATATATTGTTGCCTTTTTTTACCTTGGATAACTGATTAGCTATCTCATTGTAGAAAACACAGCTGGGACAAGCACTTAGATTTCACTGTGAAGTAAAGTAGATGAGAGTCTTTGGCCGATCTCCACAAGACGCGTCATGACAAATGCTGCCACTTTAGGATTTTAGAGAAAGTCAACAAAAAACATTTATTGCACTGTAAGAAACACACACTTAAAAAGCACTCAGTGTCACTAAAACAATGCCCGAGGAAAGAGCAATGTGTTCTTACTTAATATTATTTAGTCACTGGCACCTTATACAAACTAAAATTCCAATGAAATACACAGTCAAGAATTCATCTCGGATGCTAACTCAAGTGAACACTGTAGCTGTGCTTACTAGATGAATATTTAACCATTTGTCATTTGCTGCATAACAGTGCGCACACAGACTGGTTTTTTTAATAGTGAAAACACAGCTGAGAGAGATGCTACTAAAATGTAAACCAGGAGACTTTTGAATAAGATAATGTGATTCTATCCTTAAGCATCTTTCTTCCAAGGCTTCAGAGGTTTCTGCTGAATGTTTTATCAACAAGAAATACAGAATTTGTTTCACTAGTTTATCCTTTTTTGTCTATCTGTATATTATATATTTTTCCTATGTCTGTCTATAGCAGTGTAAGAGGCAGCCATATATTCCAGAAATTACTCTTTCCATTAGTACAAGGCAGGAACAGCATCTTTAAAGGAATTCAGTGGTGAGTGAATTCACATATACTGCATGTGCTTCAGCAAGACGGATGGATATTTGAGACTCTTCAATTGGGTGGTTTTAAAACCCTTGAGAAGTCTGCTCCAGGGACCTTAAGGATTTTATAGTTGGCCCAGGACACGTACTGCATCCTTTCTACTCAAAGGTGTCTATTTAATGGTTTAATAGTTGTATGACTATTTTCTTATCTCTCAGAATGTTATAATGTGCAGAAATTACCTTCCTCTGAGTGAGACTTTGGTATCTCAACATCTATTGTTGAGATTACTACCTAGTAATAAATTAAATTGTGTGATGTTAATTGCTATATAACATTGTATATCATAACTTCTATGGTGGCTATATATCATATCAATGATATTACAGTAAGAATCACCCAGATTAATGAAAAATGAACTTTGATGAAAACCGAGAAAAGCACAGTGATAATGGAACCAGAACTGGCTTCAGCACGCAACAGTCCAACACCACACACCATCTCTCCTGCCCTGAAGGACTGTTATGACAAATGGAGCCCAAAGTCATGGGCTAAATGAACTCAACGGGCATTTTATAGGGACAGCCCATAGACTAAGGGAATGGTATCTGTGTGTATAGATATCAAAAGACAGATTGATTACTTCCTAGAAGCTACCACTGTATTTAAAAAGTCAATAATACTTTCTGAGATGTATTTCTTCTCAAATGGACATGATGCTATCTTTGCCTTCCCAAATTTTAGTTTCCTATTCAGATTACAATATGCATCCAAGGATCCTGTGCTGAGCAGGTTTGCAGAAAAAAAGCTGCTGAAAATCAGTTGAGTGACTGTGTCACAAACATAGCAGATTATTAATCTGCTGCTATAGATTATTAGGAAGATGTTAACTCATGCTTCGCCATAACATCTTATTCTCACTTAAATGTTTTGACTTTCTCTTTTTGTAGTACCTGCATGCAAATGGGATTGTGCATCGTGACTTGAAGCCAGAAAATCTACTCTATGCAACGCCAGCACCAGATGCACCATTAAAAATCGGTGAGCAGCATTAAATGTATGCTTCCCTAATTCCTTTGTACTAGTAATATGTGCTAACTGATATTTACAGTATATACGTCTCACCACCACTTTATTCAAAGCTAACGCTTATACTCAAATGAACAGCATGTTACTTCTTCAGCAGCACAGCTGTGCATGGTTTTTTTTAAAACCAATACAAAACTAGATGCTGGCTTAGAGAATTTATAGCCAAAATTGTGCAGAACGTGGCAGAGAATAAAGCACTCAGGAGGAACAAGAAAGATCATGAGATCAGCATACAGCTGTGTGCATCACTTCTGCGCCCCTTTTGCTTGTTAAACTAGTATTTTAAGAGGAAAGATTCATTGTCATGAAAGTACAAATGTGCAGATTAGTGGTAGAAAGCAAACTGAGCAAGGCTGACTTCTGTTTTGAAGGCAGATTTGAGGGATAAGAAGAAGTGATCTTCACAAAGAGCATAGGGAAGCTACCTGAAGCACAGTCAGTACCACGGGGGGTATGAGGAGGGACAAGGTGAGACCAGGCTCCCCTGAACGGCGATATGTTATGCCAGTTCTGTTGGGGATGGCGGCCACTTGCGAAGGGCATAACCTCCAAAAATGCTGGGTATGCCCAGTTTTCACTTGAGCAAAGAGGAGCTCTGTGCAACGCTCCTGAGCTGTATATAACCAATTTGGAAATAACACCTTGTGCTCCCTTACCAGGGAGCATGGGAGCATGCAAGGAGTGAGTGTTGCCATGTTCATCAGGCTGGTGTTCATCATGGGTTTCAGGAGCCAGATTTCCACAAACTAGTCTCAAGCAATTTATTATAAATTTTGAGGAAAGTCTTGCATCTCAGGATGATGGCATCTTAATGTACATTTTATCTAGTTCTTACCTTTCCTGGAAAGGCACTAAACAGCTGTACCATGATAGTACTAGCTGTACCATGCAGCACCCAGTGGCCTTGATTTCATGGCCAGAGTGGTGTAGGGGCTTCTGAAGCATTTTCCTAAATGCTGTGATTCTTCATCTTCTGGTTAAGCTTATTGCCTTCTTTAAATTGAGATCTGATTTACAGTGAGTGGCAGTGTTTATAAAAGTAAAGTTATTTCTGTTTTGATAAATAATAATACATAAATGATAACCATTTAGGGACAAGTGAATCCTAACTATGCATTTCTAGAATAAAATATGAACTATTTTTATCCTGATCTTGAGTCAAAACATTCGCTTTTATATTCACTGTAGCAAGACAAAAATACTTTTATTTTGCATTTTTTAAGGCCAGGTTGTCCTCACCTAAATTGAAATTTGAAGAAGCTCGGTTTATTCTCAGTGAAAACTAAAAGAGTTGTGAAGACTTCAGTTTTTATGTCTTTTAAAAAGTGAGTCATGCAAGTACGGCATCTAACGTCATGAAGGCTCTTGCTGTCTAAGTAGTAATTCAGGGTAGAAACACTGCAAAAAGGATGAACAGTACTTCTCCTGGCACAACCTCCATGCCCCTAGAAGCTCTCTATCAAAATATTGCTGGGATTTTGTCTTGCAGGGACTGTGTACTCTGACCCTTATCCAAGAAATCACTGATGCACAATTTTTTAACCCAAAATTGTTCTGTTAATTTTGTTGGATTACTCACAGAGTGGAAGCTGAATACATACCTAAAATGCATTTCTGGATCACCGCTTGTACACCCTTAGGCATCCCATTGTATTGGCTTTGTGCAAACATTAATATTCCTAAACAATCTTAACAGCTGACTTTGGACTTTCCAAGATTGTGGAAGATCAGGTGACCATGAAGACAGTTTGTGGAACTCCAGGGTACTGTGGTACGTTGTTTTATTATTTACAGTATGCTGCACTTTATGTGAGGGTGTTACATTTGCTTTTTCCAAGGTGAAATGCTTCTTCCTAAAGTCAAAATTCAAAAAGCCCCTAAAAAGCAGAAATAAAAAGCTAAAATTCAGAACTGGCACTGGGTTAAATTTTTCTAAAATCAAAGTCTCTAGCACTGAAGCTTAATAATCAAAACATATGTTATTGTGCAAGTTCTAATCAAAACATATGTTAATGTGCAAGTTCACTACTTGCATGGAAATAAGTTCAACCATCATAAAAACGCTGAAATTACTAAAATAATACTGGAGAGGCATCGGCAGAAATTTGGACTATGAAAGGCATAATGGGAATGACTAAAAATTTATAGAGTTCGTAACAATTATGAATATTTGAAATTGCTTACAGTGCATTTACCTTAAAGTAGTTTTTTTTAACAGAGGAAATCAAATTATTCCTTAGAGTGGAGTCATAAATTAATCCCCTAAACCCAAAATGTTTCAGCAAATACATGGTTTTAAATGCAGGCTTGACTCAGACCATTCTGGTCCACGCTGGAGTGGGACCTGTGTAACAGAATTATGAGTGCATTAGCAAGGAACTCTTTGTGGCACATCTTGTCAACTGGGGCGACTGGTGTAGATCTAGTCATCTCTTTCAGCAGTAAAAAGGCTTTGGCACTTTTAACTAATCCTCTTTTCTCCTAAACAAAATAAGAATGAAATCATAGGTTTGCTTCAGTTTTACCAACAGAGTGAGAATCAGCATGAACCACTGCTTACCAAAATGACTAATTTGCCTGTGCATTCACAGTACTTTAACAAGCATGAGTTTGTGGATGACTTCAGAGCAAACATCTACCTCATGAGCTTAGCACTGTATTACACAAGGATGGTAACTTTAATTCCTTTAGTAATTTAGAAATTAGGAAATTCTATACTGGGTTTATATTTTTCAGTTGGTGGCCTTTAAGGATACTTTCTACTTGTTTAACTGTGGAAGATGTGCACAAGGTTTAGAAACTGTGTTTTGTCTCAGTTGTCCTGTTCTTACATGTTTCTGTTTTTTTCCAAAATCACAGCTAGTTAAGGATGGTAACTTTAATTCCTTTAGTAATTTAGAAATTAGGAAATTCTATACTGGGTTTATATTTTTCAGTTGGTGGCCTTTAAGGATACTTTCTACTTGTTTAACTGTGGAAGATGTGCGCTGTGTTTAGAATTTATTTTTTGTTTTTTTTGTCGTTTTCTTACATGTTTCTGTTTTTTTCCAAAATCACAGCTAGTTCATGCTTCTCAGTCTTGTAGCTTTTAATAATGTAAGGCAACTAATTTGAATGCAAGAAAACCACCACTGATACTTCAAATTAAAACAAATTTCCATAGAATCACATTTAGGTAAAAATATGTTCCCTCACTGTCATATGGGAGAGTGAGGTTTTGATAAGCAGGTGAGAAAACGTAGTACTGGTACCAGTTCGTGAATAATTAGGAATGTGGGTTTTGTCTCCATTGCTTTGGGGAGAAAATAAGTGGGGCAGAGAGTGAACACTACAATTGCCATACACATATTGCCGTACACATAACATTTGGCAAACAATGCCATAGCTGTGCTATATGTCAGATATCAGTAATCCAAAGGGGATATAACTAAACCAACCCCCAAAAAATCCAGAATCTAAAAACAGAGTTCAAGCACATAACCTGCCACAGTAGGGAGAAAGCAAGCATACAACTGATCTTGAGAAATATAATTAAAAAGATGGTGCTGAGCCCCAGAGGCCGTTCCCTTGTGGGGCCGGAGCATTTCTTTCTGCCCATGGGGCTGCGATGGGAGCTCATCCTGCTGCAGGTGGGGATGCACCCAGCCTGGCCAGCCCCTGCACACAGCAGACTTTTCTTCAGCAGCAGCGTCCCCAGGTCAGAGGGGATGGCACGGACCTGTGGGATGCTCCGTCCCTGCAGAGAGCCTCCGGCCTGCCTGTGGGTGGGTGGTCTGCAGAGCAGGACAAACCTCTGGTGAGTTCTGGCTCAGTTTCCTGTGGCGGTGCCGAGCCGTGCAAGGCTGAGCAGCCAGCAGCTGGACGGAGCCTCGCACACTGCCTGGCAGCTTTCAGCAGGGCATCCCCTGCATGCTGTTGGGCTCCTGATACAGCACCCTTGCGCACAGCTTCACTGTCAGAGCAGGGACAGCTAGCTCCTGGACATATGCAGAAGCTTGCTGGGACTCCCGGAACCAGAAAATGAACCAGAAATTGATCCTCCAGTGCCAGAACGTGCAAAAGAAGGAGCCCCTCTGGCAAAAGAGGATTGCAGCTGCCTCTGCAGTCTGCTCACCCTTTATTGCAAGGCACTCCCATGTCAGCAAACCAGCTAATCACCAGGGAGGCTGGTGATCTTGTTTATACCAGGGTAAGCCTGCTGGGCTTCCCATGGTGGATGCTCACCTCCAGCAACCAATGTGATCTTGTGGAGAAACCTATTTCTGCCATTCTTGCTGAACTGTAGATCCTGAATGGGCTCCTGCAAGAGGCTGCAAGTTGCTAGCAGTGTGCTGGGTGGTAAGCATCTCGGGTAGTTTTGGACAGAGCTGAGCCAAGCCATTTGAAACTAAAGACTTGGCATTTGCTTTTATGACTGTAGAAGCAAAGGAAAGAGGACATTGGAGAAGACCAACAGAGATTACTCTGTTACCTCATAGCACAGCTGATAATGCAATTCAGGTGACATGTCCATTACCTTGTATGACATTCTCTGCCAAGCACACACAGGTGCCAAGTATGCTTTAGAGTAGCACTGAATTCCAGTCTGCTTAGTTTTATAAAACTGTACTTCACATACTAGCTATTAATGTTCTAGTTGTCTTTTCTCGTGACAGTTACATTACAAATGCCGTAAAACTGTAGTTAGTATTTTGCCCTTTTTATGCCTGTCTTTACTGGCATACTGTCTACTTACTATAAAAATAGGATAAGGCTTACTCCCATAGAAGAGCACTCAGAGTAGGGATGACTTGGTGGGGAGGGTTGAGGCTGAATGTCTGTGCTGAGAAGAGAAGAAAGGAGCTTTGTGCCTACAGACATGGACCTGCAATCCTTCCTTTACAACCCAAGTTAACTGGCCATGCGGAATTCCTGGTGGCTGGAAAATATTCAAGCATTACTTTCCAGAAGTGGAGGAAACCCAGAAGGAATACTGTTGAAATGCCAAATTAAACTATGAATAATTGATAGTCACAGGCTGCCAACTCCCACATCCTGCCCACCCAGCTATCAGCAGCTTCTCCAGAAAGGACACAGCAACAAAAACACATACTGGAGTCTGGATACTTTGGCATCAAGACTTACAAATCTACAGTTCCTGGGACGTGTAAAGTGATGCAGAGGACTGAAAGCAAGAAGGTGGTCACAAAGAACTTAACTTGCTGAGACATTGTACTTTCAGTGAACTTAACAAGAAAGGCGTAAGTGATTTCTGACAGTAGCACATAAAAATAAGCCAGTGCAGGGCAGTGATTCATGATCAGTCTGTTACAACCAACATCTAAACTAACTGCAACGTATCAGTCAAATCCATTCACCAAAAGCAAGCTTCTGGAAATATTAAAAAGTAATATTTACAAGGTGTATAACTGTGTAATCCACACAGTCTAGATAGCAAGGCAGCCCTGTATGTACAAATCTTTGGTCTCCTTTGTGGCCATTTTACAATACTGAGGTAGAAGGAGGAGAAAAGCGAAAGAAGGGCAGAAAGTGTCTTCTGCCCTTATCCTGAGCAAAAAGACATCCCAAGAAACATTGCGTTCTCTAGAAGAGGAAGCATATTGGCTATTAAACAGAAAAACTGTCCTATTTACTTCAGAACCCCCCACATGGCATTAACAAACATGGCAGGGAGAACGGTGGTTAACAGCTCTTGGTCTGTCTCAATCTCTTTCTCTGAGGTCATTGGCTGCTTCGCCTGTAGTCTGTCCTGTTAGCTACGGGTTAACCTGAGTTAAAATCATTTGGCATCTAGTGTTCCTTCTCAAAAACAGCCCCTCTCTGTTCATCAGTTTACCTAGCAGAAGAATAAGGAGGCAAGGAATGTCTGTGCTTAGACGGGCAAGCGTTTGCCCAGCTGCCAGCTGTACAAGTGGTATGTAGCAAACTTAGTGATTAATGTCCTTTGCCTTCTATATTAATGCTTTGTAAAAATGCTTGATGTGTTCCCTGCATGGTAAATCCTTCAGGTAAGTTGAAGAAGTCTGAGCCAGCTGCCTGGAGGCCGTTAGGGAGTTGTGTATACTCACTTTGATTAAAATCATGCTTGGGGGAGCCTGGCTTCCCCAGGATGTTGCAGCACATTCCTCGGGAGAGCTAGCTGCCCCAACAGAGACCTCCCACAGGCTGGGAGCAAAGCAGGAGCGTGCCAGCAGCCTGAGTCAGTCTGGAGGGGCAACCAAAACTTCAGGCTGAGCAGGGAGCTGTCACACTTTTGGGAAGCCCCAGCCCTTCTTGGCCCTGAGCATGAGGGGCCATGAGCAGCACTCATGGCTGTGAAAGTGTAATGTGGGAAGGTGAAGAGATGCGTACGTGCTGCAGCATTGATGCAGCAAGTCCACTGTGCCCCAGAAATGTGGCAGCCATCCCACATGCATCATAGAGCCGGTGGGCTCAGGGGCTGTGCTGCCAACCCGTGCATCTGATGGGTATTAATACAGATACAATGGTTGCTGAGAAGAAGGGCTACTGATACATGGAAGTGTGGCTCAGCAGTGTCTTTTTAATTATTTTTTCCAAATTAGTTGGGTATTTTTGTCTGTGGCCAAAAGGTGAGGGAGGGAAGGGTCTTGCCTCCACCAGTATCAAGCACTTCCATTTCCTCCTCTGGAGATGTGGCATTTTTGTCCTGCTGCCTCAGGAGCTTTGCCCAGGAAGGTTTGCCCAGTCAGAGGCAAACCTTGAGGGTGTGCAGAGCTATGAGCTCTGGGAGCACAGGGGACGGAGGTGCTTGAGGTAGGCATGTCACAGTTTGAATGTGCAACTGTGCACATTTTTACTCACACACAGCAGCAACACATACTGTCTGAGGGATACAGTGGTCTGCTCAGCTTTCCTCGAGGTGTGTCTGTCAGGCTGCTTGGGCAGAGATTAACTCCTCTTTACTGTTGTAGAGCCGGGGTCCCTGAGACTGCTGGGCCTTTCCGCCTTCTCCGCACTGCAGCAAAAGCAATTGCCTGAAATGGTCTTGTCTTTCCTTACAATTAAAACAGAATACCAAAAATAAAGCCCAAATAAAGTACCAAGTAAATAAGTAAAATACTGATGTAAAAGTACCACCTCCTTTGTCACATTGCAGCTCCAGTTACTGCTGTAACTTTCTGTGGTTCCTTTCACAAACCTAAACCTAAAAAGCAATTTGAAACCGAAGTCCGCTTTTCATTTTATTCTGGCTGTGCTTGGACATGACTTCTGTTGCTTTGTACTCAGTGAAGGGAATCATTTGCCTAATTTAGGGCTTAAAGCAACAGGCCCTAACTTTTTAAAAGACTCTTACGAGTGTGCACAGAGTTTAAATTGACTTTGTGACTGTTATTTCTGCATTCAACTTCCATCTTATTGACAAGTGTTTTATCATCTGCAGCACCGGAGATACTACGGGGATGTGCCTATGGCCCTGAGGTGGACATGTGGTCTCTGGGGATCATCACCTACATCCTGTAAGTGCAGACAGTGCCACGGAGTGGTTCATTTATGAGCACCTGCAGGTTTTTATGACATTATGAGCTGTGCCGTTGGAAGACAGGAGATCCTGAATTTTAATTATGATATTCCTAATCTTATTTAAGTAAGTCAAATCCTAGAGGAACATGGCAAAATGCTCAGGTTATATATTTGATAAATATAACACTTCTTCCTGAACAGCAGCAACGTCTGCACAGAATCGTGCTATTAATGTGAATCATAGCAGCGAAGATGCTGAAAGCAAAAATACAAGCATATGAGTGTCAGAAAGCATCATATGTTTTTTTCTCATTCTCTCATTCACACAAACTGTGAGGTATACTATGATCCTAAGAAGCTTCTCAACTACAGATGGGGCAAGGAGAAGTTAAGGTGTTTGCAGTAGTTTCACCGTGCCTGTGAATATTCCCAAATGCAGCTGCCCCATCTGTGTCAGCCACACACCCTGCTACAGCTTCAGCTGCAGCATCAGTGTTGCTGTCCCACAGCACCTCAGCCAGGAGGCAGGGAACAGCCCTGGACTCTGTCTGCAAATCAGTCCAATGGGCTGAATGATTAATGTTGAAGTGTTCCACTTCTTACAAGGTAACCAGAGACACTGGTGACAGAGGGCTTTGAGCGATGCTGGCCATACATATTTTAAACAGTTGAAGTTGCAACTATAGACCAAAATTTTCAAACAGTTGTGTCTAAAGGTAGGCACTTGTGTCAGTATCTTAATATGGCTAGTCCTAATTCAATTGGTAAGCATTGTAATTTTTTTATTGTATTGATCTTTCAAAGGAAGATTATTGAGAAGGGAAAATTGTATCTGATGTATTGACACTTCTCTTTATGGGAGAATAAATAACTGCATTTATTCCCTTGGCAACACCAATGCTAAGCTGGCTTATGTAGTTGTATACGATACTTGCGGGATGCCTTTTATGGGAAGAAAATGGGATTTTACACATATAGATTAAAGATGTGGAGGATTTTATACATCCAGGCCATTTTCTTTCCCCTCCTAGGACTCAGTAGTCGTACTGCGTCCAGCAAGTACAGTGTTTAGTAATAAAATTATTTTCTGTTATGTCTTTTGCAAAGAAAGAATTACATTTTCTAGGGTTTACACTAAAAGTACTTGTAAGAATATATATACACTCTGATGGAAATTCCAGAAAACATCTTTTGTTCTGTATGTAAGCTTCAAATAAGTCACAGCTCTCCTTTTGGGTGCCTGTAAATGATAGGCTACAATATTCCTATTTGCCATTTTGTTATCTGCTCCTTTTAAAATGTGAATCTTTGCCTCAAGGCCTAGTTCAAGTCTGTAGAAGATCACATCTCAGATACTTCCTGCCAGTTCTAGTGGTCCACGCATGGCAGAGAGATGTGCTTTGCCATCTTTGCCCTTTACAAAGGTATCTAGATTAAGCCATGAGCTTGCCTAGTTATTTAACAACTGAGGGATAGCTGTTGTACTCGAAGCTGAAAGCCTTCCTTAAGTAGAACTTGCTTTAAAGTGTGGGCAAGCTCCAAGCGAGAATGTACAGCAAATTCCTACTTGAATATATGGAGTGGCATTTGCTATACGCAGCCTTTCAAAACCTCCCAAGCCACATTAAACCTCTGCACTGGTGTAAACACAAGTGTGTGAGCTCCTGCTCTGGGTGGGACACCACCAGTACAGATAGTCCTCTACTTCTTCCTCCTTCTGTTCCTCTCCTCCTCCCCTCTTGAAATCAAATTTGACCTACAGGAGCAAGCCAGGCAAAAAGGGTGCTAGTCAAGTCCACTTGGCCATCTCTTCTATTTAGCTTTAATAATACTCCACATTTAAAACTCTTCTATTGAGTGTAAAGCTTTGTATGTCAACATTTCTGATGGGTTAGAAGCTGAGACCAGAAAGGTACATGTACAGTAACTAATTGATTAATCCTGCAGCCTCAAGGACAGTGTTGCATGTCTCAGTCTCATAGTTTAGTAGAGGGAATGCACTTATGTACAGTCAAAAAAACACATTGTTGTATGTGCCTCCAAAATAGAGTGTATTTAAGAGTTAACTACCGTGCTACAGGAGACGTGCGTAAAACTGTATCTTCTCACCAATACAAAGTGGACTTAACATGTGATTAAGAAAACCTTTGACACATGTTTTGACTGAACAATTATTCCTGAGGCCAATTATATTAAGACCTATTGATGATAACTGTCATAATTCCAAGGAAGCCCCATTTATAGTTTTAACAGCAAAGAGTACCAGTCCTTTTGTATTCCTGCAGCAGGTTTGAAATGCAAGTGCACATTTGAGATGCAGATAGTGGTCAACAAATACAGAGGCTTTGCCTGTAGTCAAAATTGCATGGATTTAATTAAAGGTGTTTTTTTACTAACTTACTTAAAAGGGCATAAAACACTGTCTGGTCATTTCTAATTGATTTTGAAGCTGTTTACATTGATTTTTCTTTATTTGGTAGGTAATTGATTTAAAATGAATCAGCATAATCCTGGTTTAAATTAAATCAAGAGCAGCCATGCTGGGTCTTACCCTGGTTTAATTTATCTAATTTGAAATCACACCTCTAGTTTTATTCATCTAATCTGTCTGCTGAAGTGAAATTTTTTTTAGGTAGAAGCGTATCCATAGAAATTGTTAATAAGACAAAAATAGGTGATAGTAGTGAGTTATGACAAAAATATTTTCAGAAGTAAATAGAGAATCACTTAGAAGGCTTCAAACACAGTCACAGCAAGTCTTAAGCAATGGTCTCACTGTATGTCATCAGTTACCTGGTATTCAGAAGCCAGTTTTGGCTGAACCAGTTAGTGGCCCAACAATGCTGCTCAGCAAAAGTGCTCCGTGGGGATAGGAGCCGACCTGAAGCAAGCTCAGAAATGGTGGTGGGAGAGGCAGGCAAACAGGAGGGGAGCAGCAGAGGGACCATGGCTGGCTTCCACCTACTGAAGCACACAGTACTTGGAGGTTGGATCCTTGTGTTTTAACCCATCTCTGCCAGACTTGGAAATTAATGACACACCCAGAATGTGCTTACAGTGGAGTTTTTCAGCAGTGCACAGTGATGCAGCTGTTGCACCCATGGCTACACACCACTCTCAGAAACACATTTCTTCCTTGAACATCTGTCTTCTTTTTCTGGACAGTAAGCACACTGGTTGGGTTTAAACATATAAGAACAAGCTAAAATGTAAGGTTAAATTTTCTAGATTTGTTGCTGTCTTATTCTTTACAGTCTGCTGTTGTTTTCCTGTCATCATCTCATTGCTTGTTGCATTTTCTGGAGGCAGAGTAGCAGATAGACTTTCTGTTTAGCTCAGAACACATACTGGTTGAATAGGAAGTTCACTTTAAAACATCTGATTATGTGTGCAGGCATGATTAAAGTGCAATGAAGCGACAAAAAAGGACATTATATAAATGGAAACCACTTCTATGAGTTTGCTTTCCCCAGGGCCAGCTGTGTGGATCTGTGTCGGGATCTGTATTATTCAATATATTCATAAATGCAGTCATTAGTGAGATTACAAAATTTCTTGATAATATGTAGGTTACCTAGGTGAGGATGAGGGCTGATTATTAAAACCTGCCAGAGGTTTTAATAACATACAGTGATGAACATAATCAAAAAACAGTCCTAACTGGACATATAAAAACTTTTAACTTCACAAGTAAAGTGTGGTTCCTCAGCTAATTCCTACCTCTCAGGAAAGAGTTACAGGGATTCTGATAATTCCTCTATGAACATGTTAACTCTGTGCTTGTAAACAGTCCAGAAAACCAGATCCAAGGTCAAGAATTGTTAGCAAAGAAATGGAGATTAAAATAGAAAACATCATTATGCTAATTTGCAACTCTGTGGTGTGCCCACACTGAATGGTGTTTGCACCCACTTTAAAAAGACACACGGCTGGAGAAGACTCACAGAAGAAAGCAGGGATGAGCAAAGTTTCAGACTGAGGAATGACTAAATAGTCCAAGGGACTTCAGCCTGAGACCAGCAGAGCAAAGAGCTGCTAGAAAATACTTATTGGCATGTAGAAGGTAAACAGGTATCAGCTGTTGCATGGCTATTCTTATGTTAAGTCCCTATATTAATAGTTCCAATTTCCATGTGAAAATGGAAAATTTACAATTTGATCAGCCTTTCCCAGTGCTTATGAATGCTATGACCACATTTTGCTCTGCTCTGTAGAATTAGGAATTTGTAAGTATATCCAGGTCTGGTATCCCAAAGTGGAGTACAGGACACAAAGTAGGGAAAGAGAATACCAGGAACTGTTTCTAACAGCCCAAGACTAATTAATCTTTGATAAATTTCTTTCTTTGTTATCCTTGCAGACTTTGTGGCTTTGAACCATTTTATGATGAAAGGGGAGATCAGTACATGTTTAAGAGAATCCTGAACTGTGAATATGACTTTGTGTCCCCCTGGTGGGATGACGTGTCTCTGAATGCCAAGGATTTAGTAAGTAAAGCAAAAATGAGACTGGAGTATCTTTGCTGATATGTATTTGGATAGTATCACTTCCACTGAGAAAGAGAGTCCATTTTGGGGTGGGGTCAGAATAATTGGTTAATTAATTATTCATATGGCTCCTTGCTTTTCTTCTTCTTATCTCTGGTATATTATGGTGCTGTTAAATATCCGCTGTTAGTCCAGTGCTGTAATTTTGCACTCAAAACTGTGGATGTTCAGGTCCTTCTGTGAACTAAGCCACAAATTGTTGGCAGCTGTCCCAGTGTTCATGCATGCCTACTTTTCATGCTAGCTCTGAGGTGTTTCGTCATTCCTCTTTGCAGGGCAACCACCTTCAGGGGAACGTAGAAACAAGCCCTGTATTTTGTGCAGTTTTCAAGTCTGAACTTTGGAGGAAGAATATAAAAAGGAGTGAAGCCCCCACACACACACTTTTGCTGACAGCTTTTTTCTGTCCATTTAAGCTTTTTCTCAGTAGATGAGAAAAGACTCATTACTTTTCAATATGGTCCATAAGCAAAATGCAAGGGCTGGCGTGCTATCTGCACTGTATTCTTTTTTTACTGGATAAAGTAAATTGGATCCAGGAGACACTGATCTGCAAAGATAGGTATGCTTGAGTTTGATTTTTAGTCAACAATAACTTGCACAATTCAGTTATTTCATTAGCACTGAAGACACAAATGCTCAGTTCCATATTGCTTATACAAACTGTGCCATAAAATACCACATAATTAGTATTTATAAAGTACTTCAGGATGCCTCAAATGGAAGGACTGTAGAAGTTCAAAGTACTTTCTTGTTGTTGTATTCGATGTGAAGTTTTTCTAAGGTCAAAAAAATACCATTTACTTCCTTTTGTCGTCAAAACCCAGATAAACAGCAGCCTGCATCAAAGCTGCTCTTTATTGTATACAGAGAGCTTTGGTCCAAACTGGTCCTTACCATTTTGTTACAGTAAAGCTCAGAGTTTCAGGTTTGAACACTGTATAGCAAGTTGCAAGTAAGGATGAAGGCCGTGGCTCTCAAAACCCATGCTGTGGGCAGTTCTGGGGTGTTCATTTGTCTTGTGTGGACGCACAGTGGGTATTCTTCACGATGACTGTTCTTCCGCACCTGCTTCAGGGCACTGTCTTTCTTTAATAGCTTTTTGTGAGGAAAGTTCAGAGAGCCCTGAAGCAAGTCCTCCCCTCACGCTTGGGCACATGGCAGTGGTGGAGCCCTGTGCCATCACTTGCACTCTGCTCCAAGAGTGGGCAGTCAGGAGAGTTGCATAAGTGTGGCTCTGCTGAGTACCATCCATGTACTTCTTTACTCCATCCTACCCTTCTTTTTTTGAAAAACATCACTTGTCCAGACACACAGCAAAACCCATGAAATGTAGCTTGCCTGGACACACTTTGTACCTAGCAGTTTGTACCACTGATGTCCCAAAAATGTCCTACTGTTGTGTTTGGAGAGGTGCAGCTTCCCTGGTCTCAATAGCAGAAAGAATGGCATAAACAGCATTAGTTTCATAGTGAGCTAAGAGAGAAATACTTGTACAGTACTTTTTAACTCACGTGTACATGTGGTTTTATGGTGACTGAAAGAAACATTTCATTTGTGATGTACCTGGCAGTGACTGCATAGTACAAGTCTGCATGAGTTACATACACTAGAATTTAAACTTTCTAATCCAACTTAAACCTTGTCGAAATCCAAAAGTGGGGATACTGCTAAGATAACTGCCTGGCTGGGGGTATTTTGAGCATCTCTTAGGGTTTATGTCACAATTCAGACATACAACAGCCTATGGTGGATTCAGGCCCGCTGCATTGGTACATCCTCTTTCAAATGTTGGTAACCAGTTGATTCTTTTCCTCCTCTCTTCCCCCTTAGCAGCTGTCTTATTCAGATATTATTTATGGAGGACCAAGAAATGCCAGAAACAAAATATGTGCAAAGACCTGTACACAAATTCTTGTTGGTTTCTTAGAATGTGTTTCACTAAGGCACTTTTCAAACCAAGACCAAAGCTCAAAAATGCAAAGCTCGTTAATGTAAATGAAGAATAAGGTTAACAGTCTTCCGTATTTCTTCCTTGTGATGCAGGTTAAAAAGTTGATTGTTTTAGACCCCAAGAAACGCCTCACCACTCTACAGGCTTTGCAGCACCCATGGGTTACAGGGAAGGCAGCAAACTTTGCACATATGGACAATGCACAAAAGAAACTTCAAGAATTCAATGCTCGGCGTAAACTTAAGGCAAGTCTCTGGACATAGTCTCTGTTTTGGCTGTGAAAGCATGCAATTAAATTAGTAGCCTTGCAGAAACCTTGCACACTTTTCAGGACAACATTCCATAGTGGTATGGAAGCTTTTTATTTAAGATGACTGATGAAGATGAAAAAGTTGAAGCTGATTTAGTTGATGTCTGCAGCCAAACAAATAAAAATGTGAGGTTGAGTGAAAACTCTATCTACACAGAACGAACTGCTGAGAATGTACACAGCTTTCGCAAATTCCTTACCTTCCTTCCTTCCTTTCTTCCCTTCTTCCTTCCTTGCTTCTGTCCATCCATGTCCTGTACTGCTTGTGCGTCCTTAGAGTATTGACCAGAAAGAACAAAATTCTGAGTAGTTTCTTCATGAGCATCCATAAATCTGGAAGATATTTAATCTACTATAGCATATTTTGATCTGTAAGCCACCCTCAGTTTCTATACCTATCAATACAAAGCAGGAGCTTAAGCCATCCTTCTGTATGATCTAGAGTCAGCATTTCAGATGTGTAGGTCCACAAAATGTGTGGGCTGAGATTAACAGGCCCAAAACATGCATTTCTAAGTACCTCTGAGAGCAAATGTGCAATAGCATTCTTTATCTGGAAATTAAGCGCTGCAAGGCAGGAGTGCAGGTGGGACCTGTGCTGAAAATAACATTAGGTTTTGAGTCACCAATATGCTCCTTTACCATCTAGTCTACATATCTACCATGGGAAGGAGCAGGGAAACATTTTTAGGTGCAAACGACAGGCAGCTGAGCATCTAATTGACATAACATCGGGAAACTTTCTTCTCCCCTAATCCCTTCCTCAGTTGTTAAAGATTTGTGTCTGCTTAGGAGAGACTTCCAGGGATGCTTCAGCACAGAAATTATTACCCACAGCTACAGTGAAGCTGCCCTTGTAGCCCTGGGGAATAAGAGTAAAAAAGCATCTTGTCTGAGAGCTTTACAAACCCCATGCAAAACCAAATTCACAATGATCCTTAACTTTGTTTTTGCTCTTTTTTTTCAGTATTATTAGGGAACTATGACAGAGAATCTCTACAGGGCAAAGAAAAAAGTTTTGTATTTTACAAAGGTCTCAGACACTGTAGATATAATTCACAGTGATGCTTTGCCCATGCAGAATTGACTAAACGTGTCTATTAACATTGTTCTCTTCAGAAAGATTTCTGTAGCCTTACAGCAGGATTGCTGTGTATTCACTGAAGATGCCATGCAATGTTGTTATATGAAAATTATTTCAGAGCATGAGCAGAGCCATAAGTTTCATTATTTCTGAGTGAGCTATTACATTCCCTGCCCAGGAGGTCACAAAGAAACACGTACCCTTTATGCATGTTTTGATTTTGATTCTCTTTATATTTTTACACCGTTGATCACCAATGAGATTTTTTTGGAGCCCAGTTTATTTAGATCCCTATAGTCAATCAATTTATACTTCTGTGTTTAAAAGCTGGTTTTATTTTTTAACTTTTTATAAGTGTATTTCTTCATTGCTTTTCTATTAAAGATTAAATGACCAAATCTCCAATTATTAAGAGAATTAACTGGAGTTAGCAGTTATTGTAGAGTTAATAGTTTTGCACACATACATGTATAAAATGAACCGTAAATTTTTAGACAATTAATTCCTGTCCAAAAAATAAGAACAAAGCAGAAAACCAGGTAGGGAATACATGCTTTAGTTGGTTTTTTGTTAATAAGAATAATACAAAATTATCCTCTCTTTCCCAACATTCAAGTCCAGCAGCAAGCTTTCTTTACGTAAGGACATATTTTTATAGAATAACTCTAAAACTCTCAGTCATGATTGGTTTTTCATAGGTTGTGTGGAATTTGTTTCATAAACATCCACATGGCTAGTGAGAGTAAATTACATTAAAAGTATCTTTATACATTATAATATCATTGAGTGGCATGTTCTATTTGTAATTTGTAATCTCACTTTCAAAATTATTGACACTTTCATTGGCTCATGCCTTGTACTTTGACTTCATATTCTGTATTAGCTGATTCTTCTTTCTTGCCAATGTTTATATAGTCTCTTGTCATTAGTATCTTCTTTTTCTTTCTTTTTTTTTTTTGCATGGTTACCTCTCCAACCACCCACAAAACTTGCTATACTCCTCATCCCTTCCTGCAGACCCGCTTCTTCTGTGATGCCTAAGCAAAAAGCTAGCCAAGTCAAAAATAGCTAGACTTTTCATACACAGAGATTAGTATTTCTTTTTCTCACCTCTGTATGTTTGTTTTTTCAGGCAATAAGACTCTTCAAGGCAAGGGCTAAGATAACTGTCTTAATGTGTGTCTTCATTTTGTGACATTTTATGTGATATGAGAGCCTATCCCCAATGCATATTTATATATATACATAGGAGGTTGCCCGTATGCTCTGCACCGTTATGCTTGGCATATGCAATAGTGATAAATATTGTTTCCCTTTGTGAACTTTTCATGGAATAATCAGTGCTAATACTGTTACTATCATGACAGAAGATAACATTCTTTTTGCCATCTAACTTCAACACAGGAGATCTGAAGTAGTTTCTAAAAAAAAATGCAGCATGTGCAGCTGAAAAAAAAATTCTGTTCATGTTGGCCAACTTGTAACCTTGTGAAAGCAGGAATTTTAAACCTCAGTCCAGTATTTCAGGTGGCCTTCTAAATCTGTCCAGGCCCAGGCAGGTATCTGAATGTCACATTACCATGAAGACTAAACGCAGTTACATTCCCTAACGGGATGATGCTAAGGCTGCAGTGCTGACAGACCGTGTCCTTTAAGGAACGTTTGCTTGATCCTCTCTTTCTCAGGCTGCAGTAAAAGCTGTGGTGGCATCAACTCGCCTCGGCAGTGCCAGCGGTCACAGCACGCATGATAGCAACAAGCCCAGCCGTAACCCGTCTCCCGTCCATGACTGCAAACCCGAAGAGAAACCCACTCAGGAAGCAGAAGCAACTCCAGAAGAAATGTCTTAGGCCAATGTGCTTCCTTGTTTCAGCTGAGATCTGTCATTTCATACACCAGCTAACTTGTCATTCAGCAAGAGAGATTCGTAAGCTTGGCCTCTCTGGTTCTGCTTTGGGGTGCCAAATGCACTGGCTGGTGATTCTACCTTCAATGCATGTGACTGCTTATGAAAATAGTAAACTGTTCCATAAGGCATGTCATGGAAACAGTGTTATTTGCAGTAATACCGGCAGGTGAAAAAATGGGGATGAATAACTACCTACCATAATGCGTATACTTCATATACATCTATCCAGTGTTTCTAGATGGCATTTGAAACAAAATACTATTTAATTTGGTTTTATGAAAGTAGGTGTCTTCTGTATGTCGTGAGTTTCTTTGAACTGCTTCCTTCCAGATTCATAGTTCTGCAGCAGACAAAAGGGAAGGAAATACCAAGCCAATGCTTTTAAAACTCATGTACGAAATAATGCTTTTTATGTGTAAAATTCAAAAAATATTTGGGGATTTATATGCAAAAAACATTCCACTACTTCTGGGAAGAAATTGAAATGTTAGTTCCACTGGGCATGAAAACGTACGTTCCTCAAGCTTGTGTTGAGAATGCCTTATTCTGCCTTTTCCTGTTTATATAAAGTATTTTAATGACAACCAAAATTACTCAGATTTCTGCCATTTCATTCTCTAGTAAAGTGTTAGCAAAACAAAACGATAGGGGACTGAAAGGGGATTACGGTAGATGCAGATTTTTGAAATACTGTTATATTTATTCATTAATTTCTAAACTGTGCAGCTAGAAGACGTTTTTATAGGGCCTAAGGGAATAATCTGCAATTATCAAGCTGTAAATGCTTGAAGAAAGCTATTCCACAACTTAATGATTTTGCTCTGGGGAAACACTCTTATACAAGGTCTGGGAGCAAGCAGTATAATCCAGTTGCTTCCCAGATAGTTTAGCCTCATGAGTAACCAGTTTCCACTTGTGAGCATAATTAGTCCAGATTTTCCTAACAAAAGACTCCTCCTGTGAAGTGATCCACCAGCACAGATCTTGCATCCCCCAGAGCTCCTGTGTCTTAAGTTAAAAGCTTAAGTGCATGGATCAGCTTGCAAAATTAGGGTCAGGCTCTTCAGCTATCTTGATTTTTTTGTTGAACGTAGTTGATAGGAATTGAAAAACTGACATGCATCAGTATGTATGACTGTTTACATTTGTTTGTTATCGCTTTGATAGCACATGAATTTCGTAATGTTATTGATATGTTACAGAAATGGCAAAAAGAACTTGATGTACAACAATGTCATTTGTGTTTGTTAAACTTTTTAATACTGATAGTTGCCTAACACCCTAGTACACTCAACATTCCTCTTTTGCTTTAATTGTTTTTATGTTAAGTTAAGCCTTGCACAACTTGCCTTGAAAAAAAATACCAGCTACTGGACAAACAAGTCATCAATAAAACATTCAGTAGCTACATTTCCTGATGAAATTAAAGGGTAATACAATGTTATTCCTACGGTAGGTTTGATAAATAAAATGTAATCTAGATTAATATAAAAAGAAAGATTAAAGATATTGTCTTTACTAGGTGAGAATGCATGCTAATGAATGTATTGTACTTGAGATTTTTTATCCGTTTCTTATAACTCTTTGAACTTCTAAAAAAAGGTTTGCTAATTAAGCGCAGTTGAAATTTAAAGTATGTGCATCCCTCCTTTTCCCAGGTGTCACACTTTGAGGTCAGCTGAAACAGCTGGTGGGGGCATGGCAGGTGTGAACAGGCCAACGAGACACTTTTGCAGATTTTTCCTTGAAAACAAGTACAGTAAGACTAATCACTTTGGAGAAAGTGATAGGTACATTCACCTGTCTGACTTTTTACTGTCTGTCTTACCTCCTGCGAGGCGACTGCAGGACAAATGCATTTCTCAGCCACAGCCCTCCTCCCCCGATTACAGAGGTGAAGCCATGCGAGTTTGGTCAATGCGGAGGTTTGACGGGAGTGGTTGGATTTCTGTAACGTTTCCTCCTTTGTTTGGAGTAGTTGCTTCTAATCTGCAGAAGTGGGGCCGGCTGCACAGTCATTGCACACCTATGAGTGCTTGAGCGAAATATCTTCATCTGAGACATGGTTTGTTGAGCTAAAAAGTAGTCCCAGCTGATTCTTAAAGTTACTCTTCGCTGAATTTGCATATCATAAATATGAACTGATGCCATGCAACTGGAGACCTCTCTGTGACAGCATGATCTTGGTGGCAGCTCATTCTTGTGCATAAAGGCTCTGGGGCTTCAGTTGGTTTTGCTTAGTTTTCTTTTATTATGCTCAATATGAAGCAATCAGCATGTCTGTGCTGAATGAATTACCAATATGTGACTCAGTAAAGTATGATGCCTACTTATGTATGACAGTACTACACAGAAGGAAGAACAGCACTAGGGTGTATGCATGTATAACTGAAGAAAGGAGTGTTAACGTGCATTGTTTACATCTGAAAAATCACATCCCGGTGGCATCTGCCATAATTCAGACTTGGGAGTGCAACACCAGTGTCTTACTGTCACTGAAAAATATGAACACACCCAAAAACTACTGGAGGTGGACCAGTTCCACATCTGTGGTTATAAACTAGGTAGAAAATTACTGATGCTCTTTTCTGTTGAAATCCTAAGCTTTAAGTTTTAAAATGTTCAATGTATTAGCAAAGTCCTTCAAGTACAAAAGGGGGAACCTTGCCATCTTTCTGAAGCATTTGAACTTAGCAAAACTTTTCCTTTAGAGGCAGATTGTAGTATTAGCCAATTAAAGTCTAATATCTGAGAGCTAGGCAGAGGATCTGATGGCTGTTAAATAGCTAACGTCCTGCCTTTGCACAACAACAGGGGTTTTTACAAGTTCAGAAAGATTCACTCCAAAATAGAACAGATTTCCTGTCATTTCGAACACTTTTGCTTGCCATTTTGCGGATGACACAGTAAATTGCACTGCATGAGCCCGGTGTTGGTTTGTTAGCTGAACTTTGTACTTTGCATTGTGCAAGCATGCTGTAAAGACACAGATACACTGTAATCAAACTTTTGAATGCAAAAGAGCATCAAGGCAAAAATTTGTGATACAGCATGTGCTTCAGAAGAAGGGTACTAAGGGCTCTGTCCCCGTGAGCGAGCAGGCTGTCGGGCACACGGAGAGGAGTGACAAAAAGTGCCCCCCATCCCCTTTGCAAGGACCCCATGCCTCGGTGAATAAAGCAAAGTGCTCTGAAAAGCCATGTGGTACTAGAGCAGGATAAAAGCAACAACCAAAAAGTTTTTGGAAGGGGCTCAGATCAGCAGAGAGTCCCAGGCTGGAGGAGGCTGTGGCTCACAGGCAGCCGGGCCTCAGCACTTACCAAATAAAGATCCTTCTCCTACAACTTGCACTGCGAGTGAAACACAGACGCAGCTGGCAGCTGTGGGGGAAGTGAGGACAACACCGCATTTTTTGCAGCCCAGCAGCAAGGAAAGGGAAGAAGATGCTAGGAGTTGTCAGTGTCCAACTTAGCAGATGGCTAGCAGTATCTGCTAAGCAGCAAATGCAGGAGGACTCTGGAGAAAAAAACACCCATTTCCAAGTAACGATTGGCAGCTATCGCTCAGCTCCCGCATACATCCTGGGGCATGCTGTTATGTAGAGCCCTGCAGTGCAGCTCTCGGGGGAGGCATGGGGGGGGTTAAGAGTGGCATATGGAAGTGTAGGGTGGAGGACTCCCAGCAGATCCTTGCACAGCATCCTGCATATTGCCTGCTTACAGAGTGACGGACACTCGTGAGTCTCAGCTCAGTGCCTTGACCCCTGGCTTGTGCAGAGGCTGTGTATTTCTACTGGTGAAGAACTCAGTTTTGTGTGGCTGAGTCTACCTTGTTGCTGCTCAGGTTACAAGTGTATAGCTTATGTAGGCATGGCATTCAAGTAACACAAGGTATCTTCTTACATGGCAGAAAAGCAGGAATGAGGCTGACCAAGCAAGATGCACAGTTACACCTAGAGCACAACAGCAGGGATACAAGCAAGTCCTGAAGATACCCAAGGTAAACGAAGAGACAGCTCAGAACATCCTTAAAGTTGCTTTATAAAACACTAGTAGCTCAAAGAATGTCCTTTCCTCCCTTTCAGACTAATTTCAGTTAGAACATACAACCACAATAGTGAGAGTTAATTCTGCTTTTGTATAAAGAAATTTAGCTTCCCTGATAAGCCCCTGCACATGGAACAAAAACCACCAGCTGCACTGCAAAATAAGAAGAAAATAAAATTATAAGGAACAAAGAGGAGAAAAATAGGAATAAAATAATTACGTAGTCTAGTTATATCTGGAATGTAAAGATCTTAGTTCCAGAACCTGTATAAAGTTTTACTGACAAGACTCAAGGTTCTCCACATAAGCAAAATTTTGCTTTCTGTCTGGAAGGTACAACTTCTGGCCAGAGTAATTCAGTGAAGATTGATGGAGGGTCAGTGCAAATATGGAGAGCATCCCTTGGAGTGTGAATCCTCTAACTTATATAAGGATGGAACAATGTACATGCATATAACTAAAAATCCAGCAAAAGCAAAAAAAAACCCTGCATTGCATGCACTTCTACCCCTCCAGACTGGAACAGAGGACATGAACGCAGTCATGAACTTGGTCATTATTGGAAGGCATTCAGATATTGTGGGGATAGGCATAGTACAGAAGCAGGAACAGAACGGAATAGTCAAAGTGGCCCAATTCTGAACTTATCAATAAAATTATAGATATATATTAAAACATATATGTGTACACACACACACAAATATATAAATTTATCAAAAGGGAGGCAGAGACTGCTGAACAGTCTCCTAAGAGCCATGCCTGCATTAACAGTCACAGTAACCTTTTAAGCCGTCTTTTGCCCTTTGCCAGCGTTACTCGGCTAGAACTGAAACCATAGTGTTTCACATTCTTGTATACACAGATCATCACTGGATGAAATTCAGTGTAATGGATA